AATTGTGAGTAGCTAAAATGTCCATTCTAATTTGGTTTTCATGGTCCTGACACCATTTCAATTTGGACTTCAAGTACCTTCTGGTTTCGCGCATTCTGTGATACACATCTCCCGTGCTGGGTTTACCTTGCGATACCCAAGTCTGGAAGCTGAGCCGTGCCTCTCCGTGAGCCGCCTTAACATGTTTGTTCCAGCCTGCCACTTTTTTTGTGTTTTCCATTACGCTTTTTTAAATCATAACTGGTTTCAGCAGCATTTCTTAACGTTTAGATAATATTTTTATATAATCTACAAATAATACTCCTGTGCTCTAACATGTTACAGATTTCATCTGCACAATTTCTACATTCATCTGGAAAACAAATTTCTCTTAACCTACAATTACATTCATTATGATGAACAAGCTTAAGTATTCGCTGATCATCTCTCTCATAAATAAGTCTACAAATAATAAAACTAGAAATGAAACGGATAGTGATTTGGCCGGATATCGGATATCCGGCGAGCACCTAGCCCGGATAGCCGGATATCTGACCAACTGCCGTAAAAATGTCGCAATCGGTTTACAGGGCGCATCGCTGTGATTGATTGATTAGTGAATGATTGCACTTTCACATTGACGATTTGATTTGTTATGGTCACTTTGTTTCTTGTAAACACGATTAATTTATTAAATAATACAAATAAATACAAAAATGTTAACAGTGAAAAAAAATCGTAAATATGGCAATATTTTAATATCCGTGCAGTTTGTTTGTGTCGAATGCAAATTTTTCGAGATGAAGAAGAAAAAAGCAATTACATCGTTTTTTGGCTTTATTAAAATTTCTAGTTATTGCAAGTATTAAATAAACCTAGCACTTGATACGCCCGTTATTATTTTGTTTCAAATTGATTTCATTAATATGTTTGTGATCTAATAGAGATTTTATAAGTTTGCTATCTAATTTTAAGCCTTGACACCAGATTTGCCAAAAAAAAAATTACTTACATGTTTCATTATTGTATACGAAAATAGAAGATTTTATTTTTTTAAAGACTGTTCAAATCGATCGTGATCGCGATCCTTTCATTTGGTCGTCTGATTATAACAAGTAGTACATCATTTAACAAAGTTTGCAAGAGTTTTTAGTTCAACTGTCCTCTTAAGCTGGTCGTTTATGACAAACTTTACCACTTAATGCAGAAAAACTGGTCTTCAACCACCATATTTGCCTTTATTGAAATTTGAATACTAAATTTACAGATAGCGATATCTAACTTCATAGTTCTTTCAGTTAAAAATAATAAACAAATCGTCAACGAATGAAACGCAATGCTGCGCAGCCTTTCTCTTTAGATAGAAATTGCTTCTATACCTTATTTTGTAGAGAGTATGTTCTATATTATAATGTATAATATAAAGTGCGCCTGGCGCAGCTCGACTTTTGCTTGTTGGCTTGAGCAAGCGGTCGCGGGGACGTCGAGCTGCGTCGAGTTCCGCTTTTGTTATTTGTTATTGCTTAACTCATCCGCAAAGTAGATACTTTGCGGATAAGTTAAGCAATTTGTAGATTATACATACAAATAACATGGCACTGGATGAGAAGTTCGCGGCTTGGACACCTAGTAGAGCCAATTTCGGAAGTGTACTTTATTAAAATTTCTAAAGTGGTTTTGGCCTAGGTGTTTTAGGTAGCTCTTGGTTCCGGCTTGGCTTCCTGGTAGAACCAATTTAGGAAATGAACTTTTCTAAAGTGGTTTTGGCCTAGATGTTCTAGGTAGTGCCGCGAAGCGAACTTCAGGCTCTTGGTCTGGGTTCGATTGGCGGAATAACCTAATTGGGAAATGAACTTTTTTAAAGTGGTTTTGGTCGAGGTGTTTTCGGTACTGCCGCGGAGTGGATTCCGTAGCATTTGGTCCGGCTTCGTTCCCGGTAGAATCAATTTGGGAAACGAACTTTTCTAAAGTGGTTTTGGCCCCGGTATTCAGGGTAAACTTAATGAACTAAATAATGAAAATAAAAAATCGAATGAACTTTTATCTGTTCTGTTGTCCACACCAGTGCCCGATGCATGACGCCGCGATAAACTTATTATATCTACATTTAGTTGTCAAATTCAATTGATAAAACCGCCATTTTTTGTTTTACCACAATAGTGAACATGGCGAGCACCGTGACGTCACATTTTTCATGCACCGCGCGCGCCTCGACCAGTGGCCGCGAAAGAATATCGCAGTGCCAAACATCACAGCTGATTTTAAAAAAGAAACAGTATGCGTAGTATGGCAGCATATCGGATGCAATATGTGATGAATCTTCCCGTGACATACTTGTCGCATTCGATAAAGCTGTTGCCATTATTAATTTTTTTTTATTTATACCGCATTGGTAGTAAAAAAAAATTATTTATATAATTATATAAATAATTTTAATTTTGTATAAAAAAATATTATGTAAGTTCAAAAACAAACTTAAAAAAAAATTCTTAACCAACTTCAAAACTCACAAACCATCTTTGTCACAAACAGTCACTACACTAAAACGCGAAAAATAACAAAATAGATACCTATTTAATCCAAACGACCACAATGCACGTAATTCTTTTTATTTATTTTTGTCTTATTTCGTTCTGTACACAGGTAGGTTATAGGTAATAGGTTTGGACAAGAATTATCACGTTGTAATTTTTTAAATAAACCATAAGTGTAGAAAGATTAAAAGAATGAAAAAGATTCAATGAATGGTTGATAGATTGAATGACAAATGTAGAAAAATTACTTAGCATGTGTTTTTAACAAATGTGCTGATGATGTGTTCCTGTGTGTGTCCTGGCCTTATGAAGCAAAGCAAAGTCATTCCACTTTTTAAATTTGGTAGCAATACAGACCCCACCAATTTCCGACATATTTCAGTACTACCAACTCTCAGTAAATTATTTGAAAAAACATCATAAATCAGGTATATTTTTAAAGTAATAATTTTATGTCTCATAAACAATTTGGTTTCATTTGGGGTCGCTCTACAACCGATGCTGGTGTTGAGTTGATAAAACATATATTTAATGCATGGGAAGACTCACATGATACCATTGAAGTATTCTGTGAACTTTCCAAGGCTTTTGATTGTGTGTATCATACTCTGGTCAGGAAACTTCGCCAATATAGTTTGGCGGGGCGTGACCTCGACCTTCTTAAATCGTAGTTAAGTGGTAGTGAACAGAGGGTCGATGTCAAAGGTACGAGTTTGTCAGGGTCTGCAATTAGCATGGGTGGGACACCCAATGTCCAAAATCCAAAAGGGAGACTCAAGTTTCAATTCTTGGTCCATTTTTGTTTTTAGTTTATATTAATGGCTTTCCTAGCCTTGTGGAAGCCATAGAACATGAAATAATATTGTTTGCTGATGATACTTCTTTAAAAGGCACCAAAGTTCCTACGACGATGTAAACAATGCTATATCTAAAGTAGAAGATTAGTTTACAGTGAATAAATAACCTGCTCCTTAATAAGAAAAAAACAATTTGAGTGAAATTTGTACCCAATGTTAGGCAGACAGACAAACATAGTTAGAAACGCAATATTGAACCTTGTAGATACAGTTGTATTTCTAGGTGTAACTTAAGATGCTGAATTGTAATGGGATCCACATATAAGTAAGTTATCAAATCGCTCAGCTCTCCAGTGCACGCAAATAAAACAATACAAAAACAACTCGATTAAGATAGTAGCAACTTCAGCTATTTTCACAGTTTAATGACATACGGCATTTTGCTTTAGGGTAACGCCACCGAGTCTTTGTCCTGCTGAAACAGGTGGTTAGGGCAACTCTTCTTACACTAGCATCACAGTACATTTACGAAAATGTTATTTATGTTAAGAAAAATAGTAATCTTTTTAGTAAAAATAGTGACAGACATCACATTAACATGAGGAATAAAAATTTGCTAGCTATTCTTGAAGTCATCTTCACAAAGTCACAAATTCATTTAAGGGGCAATGAATGAGCTTCTATAGTAAGATTCTGGTTGATATTCAAAATTTGCTATTTACGAAGTTTGAAACTGTAGTGTAACAAAAACTTTATATTAAAGGTTATTAGACCGGTTGTGCGTATGTGGATGACAAGAATCCGTGGTAGTGACCGGTTTAGCTCTTGCAGATAGTCTCAATCTAAGATGTTTGAATTAAATATTGCAAATTTTAAATGTATTCAAATGTATAGTTAAAAGAGCAACCCCTAGAGTTTCTTGCTCATGCTTCTCAGGGGACTCTACGTTATGAGTGAGCGGTTAACATAGCACATTAGGTTGAGAGTAGAGTTTAATTAATATGATTATTTCAAGTGTAATTTGTTTACCCATGAAATAAAGATGATTTGAATTTTGAATTGAAAACGTGTTCAATTGTAGCCTTAATTTCCTGAAATACTACAGATGTTATAATAACTACAGTTGTCACCAAACACATAAATATACAGTCCATGGCAACAAAAGTTGCCAGAGACTATTAAGCATATATTTGTGTGATCAATGGAAAATAATTAAGAATAATTTACATTGAAAGAGTTAACTTCCTTTCCTTTTTTTATGATTTCGAGAGAAACATTCATTACATAAAATCACAGGTGCTAACAAGATTTGTTTCTGTAATCATGTCTATCTAGATGATTTCGACTTCTGTATTTTTTTAAGGAATATAATAGGATTGAAACAGCTACAAGTGAATGTTTTTCCTTTTGCCATCGCTTTAATATGATTAAGGAAAACACAAGTGTTTGGTGTCACACAGTCTGATTTGGGAGTAGTCCAGTCTAGCTGGAACTTCTGACATAACATAGGCGTGTGGTAGTGGCAGGCTGGTCGAGTGAATAAATAGAAGACTATTTGCAATCTCTGATAGAAAGATAAATGAAAATAAATAAATTTCTTACACATGCCTTTACCCCCAGAACCTAAGTGCTGGGCATTAAATGGTAATATATGAAATGACTGAGTAAAAGCAGATTAAAAATTCCCTACCCATCAGCATTTTAGTTTCTTCTGGAGTTTTCTTACTGCTGAGGGTTTTGAGTCCGACTTGTAAAGCATGAAGTCTGCACCAGTACGCGACCACCAGGTCCCTGGCATCATGTTCAGCAGCCGTCTTCAGATAATGCTGAATGCTTTTCAAGCTTGTTGGACATTCAGGAATATTTGCCATTTCGCATTAGCTGAAACATTTGTACACTACTTAACAAGTAATGGAAATCATATAAAACTTTACAAACACCAGAATGACTGATATAATTCATTACTCGAGAGTGACTCAGAAAATTGGAACAATTCTTCGATGACGTATAGACTACAACTTTTAGATTGTTCTAAAAGTTTCTTAGAATACTCACTCGCAAAACAATCCAGTAATTAAGAGTAGAGTCAAATAAATTAAATTTTAGAAGAAAATAATATACAACAATTTTTCACAATTTACAACAACGTCCACAGACTACGTAGAAGATAAAACATAGAACTCGGATGACGTAATTGATATATTCTTCTGTATTTATGGTATTTGTTACAAAAAAAAGTTATTTAATTATTTATCCACTCTCGTTGAGCCTATGCACACGACGTATTTTATACACGCTGAACGTAACGTAACGAACTTAGGGTCGTATTCCAGAACTCTACTCAATGGTCAAGTCAGGATTGCACTGGAAACACCAGCACTGGAAATACGACCCTAATGGCACGGACTTGAGTACGATTTTGAGTACTTTAAACCATACTCAAATCCTGATTTGAACATTGAGTAGAGTTCTGGAATACGACACTTTGATGGCTCTAAGTAAGTATGTATGTACCAAATTTCCCAGTAGCTAATGTGCGTAATAAAAAAATAAATGTCAAATTCTGCTGTCTCACACTTCACAGGTCTCACTCTCCTGTTCATTTAGGCTGTATGGCACTATGCCAAAGCCGTTAAAACTCTAGATAAAAAAAAAATGTCACCAGTTGTGTGATATATTGATGCGAATATATTGTCTAATGAAATTAAAAATTTCTAAAATCTGAAATTTGAGGTTTTGTTTTATAAATATATATATATATATATATATATTAAAAATGCCGTCGAAGCAGAGAAAAATAGCTATGATGGGCTACCGATCTGTCGGTAATAAGTGCTACCAGAATGTCTTGTGCGTCATAAATAATGTTTTTGACGTTTTTATATAAAATAAAAAATATTTTGCAGGTAAATCTTCTCTAATTATACAATTCGTAGAAGGCCAGTTTGTAGATTCTTATGATCCTACGATTGAAAACAGTGAGTATTGTTTTGTGGCCAGAAATGTGTTCCACGCTTTCTTGTACTACAATCATTGAAGCGATCATCATACATGTTTATTTACACTCACTTTCGCGCTTTTTGTGTTGGTCTTTAAACATCTTTTAATCATAAATTACTTAATAGAGTTTGTGTAGTTTATATGGCGACTTGAACGACAATAACAGTATTAATTGTCTTTATGTTTGAAGCTTTTACAAAATTTATTCGGTTGAATTCGACGGAGTATGAAGTGAAGTTAGTGGACACGGCGGGCCAGGACGAGTATAGCATATTCCCACTGCAGTACAGTATGGACTTCCATGGATATGTACTTGTATACTCCATCACCTCTAGCAAAAGTTTCCAAATAGTTCAAATCATTTATGATAAGCTCCTTGATATGGTGGGAAAGATACAGTGAGTATTTACAGCTTATTATTTACTTGGCAACGGATATGTGATTAGTAACCATGGTTCGATTGGCTGCCAAGATCTACCATGACATTGTGAAGCTTAGAAATATTTCAATATGATCATTAATATTTACATCTCCTTTTATTTACTATCACAAAGTATAACAAAACAAACTAAAACATAACAGTATAAAGAAACATTTAGTCATATATAATTATTTTTCACACAATATGAAGATGCTCTGAAATAAATAATGATTATTATAAATATACATTTTTATACCACAAATATATTTTCTTTCTAGGACTACTTAAATTACAAAAACTGTATTTTATTTTCCAGTGTCCCTATAGTACTAGTTGGTAATAAAACAGATCTACATTTTGAAAGGAAAATAAGTACAGAGGAAGGAAAAAGACTGGCTGAAAAATGGAAGGCAGCATTTGTAGAAACCAGTGCTAAAAGGAATGAGGTAAGACGGATTATTATATTTCTGAACAAGTAAAAAATTGCATAAAAACATTCTTTAAAGGAGTTTGAAGATATTATCATTGAGTGTGGAATACCTACTGTTGGCCATTTAGAACAAGTAAACAATAGCCACATATGCAACTGGTATGAGTCAATAGTTGACATAATTTATACATTATAATTATATTAGCTAATATTACAATATAAATAAATAAATAATAAATAAAGTAAGCCTTAATCTTATTTAATATGTAAGCCTTAATCTTTAAAGTCCTTTGATGTTTTCGTTTTTAAAACTACTAAAGCCTTGCCTGAAATAAATATTGATACTTGGTGTGAGAATAATCTAAATTGAGCAGCCATTGAGAACATTGTACACACACTTGAAAAGCAAAATGGGACAAGCAACACTGTTGGAATCAGCCAATGTTTCTTATTCCAATGGTATATATAACTTAATATGAATATAATCCAAAGGTGTTGCTTATCCCATTTTGCCTTTCCAGCATCGATATGTATATACAGTCAGGGGATATAGAGGACCTATCTTTTTAAATGGGTTAAAAATTTGTGAAATGTGTCATTACAAAATTTATTTAAAAAACAACTATGTACAATAATGTTGACATACTTGAAGTCTCCCAAACTGTTAGAGTTAGATATGTTACCTTGATTGGAAGTCTGTCTCCAAATCAAAGTCTGGATTTTGTCAGTGAAACTGTTGTTGTAAATAATTGATCTAATTTATATTTTGTGCTATTTCAGTCTGTAACAGATATGTTCCACGCTATACTATCAGAAATAGAACGATCAGATGGCCACATACAAGAGAAGAATGGATGTGTGGTGTCTTAATGATGTACATTCGTTTATGAACAAAGTTCTTTTGAATTAAGCTAAAGTGATAATATATAATGTCTATGCACTGCTATTGTTGCAATGATTAAAAGGGTTATTTAGGGATATCAATTGCGTTTGTCCCTGTAAGTGATTATGTACATGCTATACTTTTCCTTGTTGCTGTTTGTACTGAACATTTGTACGATGTTTAAACAGATAAAAATGGGTCACTGTACATATTTTTAAATGATATTATTTAAAAAGGTTCATTACATTAACATTATTTAAGAGAAAATCAAATTAAATAATTTTTGAGTTTACACTGTTTACACAGATTCCACCTCTATCTATTTAATGGTACCATAAAGTAGTTACTACTAATCAATTGTATATCTTTATCCAACTCTTAATGTGAAAGAAAACGTGTAGATTTGAAGATTCAAATGTTAGACTGACCAGTGTGCCGTAGTGTTGGGTTGTGGGAAAATAACCATATAGAAAAATGTTTTTCAGAAATTAAACATTTTTCCAACTTAATGTGAAAAAAATTTTGAAAAAATTTCGCTATTTCAAGTTTTTGAGACAATTGTTCAACAATAAACTGGTCTAAATCTACATAAAATAATTAAATATCAATAAGAATTTAATAAAAACATTGGCCTTCTTCACAGTGATAAAACGTAAGCTTGTTTTTTTCAACGCTAGTACATAACGGGTTAATAAATGTGAGCAACATCAGTCCCACATTGTATCGAGTTTTCTCCATTGGTACTGTTACCATTAAACCAAAATTTTGATTAAAAATTACCAAAGACATGTAGAAAAAAAATAGATCTTATGAATATATTATTTGTGCCACTCATTGTGCAGTTTTTTAACATAATAGTCTTAAATTGTGGCTCTATAAATGACTACTGATCTTGCATATTTTCTAAAGTTATATTCTAAAGCATTGCATACAAGTAATATCCAAAGGGAGAAATATGTGAGATACTGTTTTAAAGATTGATTTCATAAGCTAGTATGCCATAAGTAGTGTGTCGCTTCGATATACCAATACTTACATACTACAAATAATAAAGTGTGAATTCGAATATTGTAACTATTTGTAACACAAAAAAAGAATTTTAAGACATTGTAGGTAAAACGATTACATGTTACAGTTAGTAATATAGTTAGGCGTTTCTTCCTTCTCATCATAGAGAGCACAAGAAAATAGCATCCCTGTGCTCACGAAGCCCTATCTTTAAATAATAATTCAATGTAAGTTAGTACAAAGTCGTTATTAGCTTCTAAGCAATTACAAAATTGAAATCCAACAAATACACGTGTACCCTATTCCAATGTGACCATAATCAAGTACTTATTTGAAATTGGACTAGTCAGGTAAAAAATCATTATTTTAGTTGGAACTAGTCGTAAATAGTCGGTCCGCGGTTTTCAAGTTACGAGGTGTAATATCCCCACACTACTGACTGTAGTACACGCGTCTTATTTGTATCAGGTAGGCCAGGAGCTCAACACGACATATATGTATATACAAATAAAATATAGTCGAAAAATCCTAACATTGTTAAACAAGTAATTGTATATTTTTTTGCTTTATTAATTCTGTACTAAAAATTATTAAAACCTTTAAGTATCATGTATTTAAAAATGTTCAACAATGGCCACGTGATATGGGCTTCTATACTAATAAACTTGAGGTAGTAAACCTGTTGTATCTTCTTAACAAACGAGCCATTAATTCTAAAATTTTGCGACTCGAACCTATAAATTAACTTTTTAATTCTCGAGATTAAAAAAAAATATTATGAAAAAATTAGTGCCGCCTAAAAAGGTTTATTCCAGTGGACAATAAAACAGCCTTCTGACTTTGAAACGGTGCGCGGTGGATCGACTAAATATCGTTTTCTGCTACTAAAACCGACTAAAGGACGACATTTTACCTGGCTAGTCGAATTTAAACTATTCGATTACACCTACGCTGGAATAAGGCACACTGAATACTCGCTGTAGTATGATGAGCGATCTAGCCATATTCATCATCATCATAATCATCGTTTCAGCCCAAAGACGTCCATTGTTGGACAAAGGCGTCGTCCAAAGATCGCCTGGTGAAGTTGGCTGTATGCAAGCAGTGTAAGACCGGTATTTGTGGCGATTTTTGGGGATTTATCTATATTATGATGACCATTAACAAGGTCAATATTTGTAAACAACATTAAATATCTTTGTATGACTTCTGTGTATTGTTAAACTTAATAGTTTGTGTAAACAAATAAACAATTGTACATACACGTATCGATCGATGAATTTACTTGTAATTTATTTTAATATAGGTTGCATTTAGCGTTACTTTTGTTCCAAGTAAAAAGAAAATTATGTATATTTATTGCTTGAAGTGTTAAGTTTAAGTTATTTACAACCTTTTTAGAAAAATATTGTATCTATACACATAGCATACTAGTAATGCAAAGGTCAACTTGAGATAACTTTAAGATAACTTTATTTTATATTTATTAAGGTTAGGCGGCTGCTGCAATGTTTACTATCGTATATGTACGTTGGGTAAAGAGTTTACGATTCAAGAGAATGTGATAAGTTTAAAGAAAAGTTGACAAACTTCATTTTATTAAAAGTTCACGTAATAGTAAATATGTAGATGACAATTACGATTTACAATCAAAAGTTCACCCGAACGGAATTCAAAATTGTAAACTCAAATGAATACGTAGTTTATGCTGGTTATTTCATATGTGACTGGTAATTAAAGTAACTGTTATCATTATTTTATTTTAATAATAAATTCAGTTATGTTAATATTGTTACAGAAAAAAGCCTTATTGTTAATGTTGTTCTTTTGTGCATGGTTAAATTGAATGTCTGTTGACATTTTGCATGAGCAAATAGTCTCTGAAAAACGTGCAACTCAATTAGCACCCGTGTTACTTTAATAAAAAAATAAATAGTTCTGATGAGATATTCAGTTAAAGTATAGATTACTATACAGGGTTTATATTACTAATATCATAAACAACAACTTTTGTTCTATGACTTTTTACGAAACGTATATTTAAGTACCAAAAATTAACTTAAGTTTTTGTTGTACTACCTATCTGACACTTTTTAGATCTGTGTCTACAAGCGTCGAACCCCGTCTCCCGCTTCTGTGAAGCAACGCGCAGTTATCACAGTTCAGACCAATCTGATGAAAAATATTTTTATTTCTAACAATTATAATAGTAATTGTTTATTTCAGAATGTCTCCATCGTGTTAGTAACAATTATGACCTTATGCATAACTTAGTAAACACAAAAAGCACACAAATTTAAATTTTAGTCAATCCCTTCTCGCTGACCTGTGAAGGGCCTCCCATGCTTGCAGAAATGTGCCGTCGACTCTCTCCAGTGGGCAGGAGGTTGTTGGAGCTGCCACACACGCGTCTCAGCAACGGCACCACTCGCTTACGCACGATAGCCTGAAAACCGTCCACTCGCGTTTCTGTAAACATTCCCGAAGCACTGCAATACCGCGGCAGCCCCAACAACATCCTGAAGCGTTGTTGTACTGGAGCTTTGTGAGCTTTTTGAGTATTTTTATTTTTTATTTTTTTTGAGTATAGTTGATCCACAGGCTGCAAGTATAATTTAAGTACATGGACAATTTTTGTACGAAAATAAAATTTGGTGAATTGTTAAAAGTCATAATTGATAAAACAAAAGCCGTTGTTTATGATGTTAGTAGTATAGTCCAGTGAGGTTGTTAGTATTTTACTAAATAATGTATTGAATGGTATCACCAACGAACCATTTGAAGCTCAAGACAGATTGTTAATTATCTGACATCCTTTCACAATATTCGGTTACTTTATAAGTTTTGTACATATTTGATGAGGGATATAACTTGTTCACTAAATTGCGACTGTAGTATTTGTATCGAGAAAGAATGAAAGGACATGAAGGATTTTCGGCTACGTCTATGTGGAACGGTGGACCAATACGGCTTAATGATAATGCGAACATCGGTCGACCCTTTGGGTAATATAATATTTTATAATTCAGTAGTTAAATTTTACTTCGTAAATGTGTATGTGGTAAGGGTAGGTATATGTACGAAAAGACTTGCGAGTAGAGATGGGCGTCTCGGAAACTTTCTATGAATCTACCCGGTATATACCCGGGAATATTCCCAAAACGGGTATTTACTCGGAAATGTTCCCAAATGGTGTGTAAATAATTTCAAATTAATAAGTGTAAAGCTGTTATTTATACCAATGAACAAGAAGAATTCTTTAAAAAAAACTATAAGCTTGTTTAAAATATAAAAATTTAGTCACTATCATCGGAGAATGTTCCTGTTCCTACATCGCAAAATTCTATTTCCCTGGTATTGCTTCTAGAAGTTGATGGTTGCGGTTCAGTAAAGTTTAATGTGGAAATGGTTAATGGGTTAGCTTCAAGAGAACTTGAATTAGTTTCCTCTTCTTCTAATACCTTTTCGTCTCTTTGGTTGTGCAGCAAGTTCCGGTTATGAGACATATAGGCCAGTTTTGCAGCTCTGTCTGTAGTTAGCTGGTTTCGGTTCGGTTAATTTATATTTCCACGGATGCTGAAGGCATGTTCTGTTGCAGCTGAGGTACAGGGAGCTGTTAAAAGGCGAGTTGCAACTTTGGTTTTACATATTCCTTTCCACCAAGCCAGTGGATTTATGATCTAGAGGCTGCTGAAAACAAAAGATTTTCCCCACAATCATTCTCTTGCTCTTTAATTTGCCAAATCAATCATAACGTCAAAGTTGAATTGCTTTCCTTTGTAACGAATAAAATACATGTAATGATTTCTTCATTTTCGTCTAATTTAATTCCTTGCGATCTAGGATCTAACATGAAGGCTGCTAGGTGGATGGGTTTTATACAATTTCCTCTGTGTTTCAACGGCATTCAAAATCTTGGCCTTGACATTGCGGTCGACCAAAAAAAAAACAGGAAGCAGATAGGCCAAACGTGATTTTATATCTTTATATGCTATACAGGTACACGTCATTAATGTGCGCTTTTACTTCTAAGTAGTTTAAAATTATTACGATGGAATTGCAAATAATTAAGGTAACATTTTAAAAATTAAAATTAACATTTCTTGGATAGAACTGTAACAGATTATGATTTTTTTTCGTTTATGTATAATTATACGGAAATACGAATAGTCTGAAGTCTGAAGTCTGGGTCGTATTCCAGAACTCTACTCAATGCTCAAGTCAGGATTGCAATTGAAACACAAGCACTGGAAATACGACCCTAATGGCAGGGACTTGAGTATGATTTCGAATGCTTTAAACCATACTCAAATCCTGACTTGAGCATTGAGTAGAGTTCTAGAATACGAGCCTTGGGTCGTA